TTATCGCTTTTGTATAGACTAGGGCACTCAACAACCTCACCATCACTGACGTGTACCCACTAACTCACATCCAAGAAACGCTGGACACCCTCGCCACTGCCAAATGGTTCAGCACTCTGGATCTTGCTGCAGGTTACTGGCAAGTTGAGCTAACACCAAGGGCCCGCCGCACAGCTGCCTTTTGCACCCGTAATGGACTATTTGAATGGAACGTTATGCTGTTCGGGTTATGTAACGCGCCGGCGACGTTCCAACGCCTGATGGACGCATCCTTGCTGGCCTGCAGTGGGAGACCTGCCTCGTCTACCTGGACGACATCATCGTGCTGGCCAAGGATGTGCCCGAGATGCTGCAGCGACTAAGCCAAGTGTTCCAGAGACTTAAACAGGCAAATCTCAAACTGAAACCAGCCAAATGCTGCCTGTTCCGCCGTCAAGTTGTCTATCTAGGTCATGTTGTGTCTGAGCATGGTGTGGCCACTGACCCCAATAAACAGTGGCGCCTCCAGAAATTTTTCGTAGGGGTGGCCAGATGGGGCCAGTTAAAATCTTGGGGTGGCACACCAAAACTACAGTATAAACCATAATGTAATTGTAATAAACCAGCCTGTAGAAAACTATCAGAAAGACTTAAGGAAACTCCTACTGATATACTTTGGTTTATTGTGTAATATTTAATGTTATGATATTAGTAGGGCCCAACTAATATATATTACATTGTATATAATGATATATATTATATGATATATAAGGGTCCTTGCCCCACAGCAAATTTCCAGATACTTACATAATTGTGATGAATTTAATCATTTTTAAGTTATTAGTTTGCAGTGTAAGATTACAGTTAACACCTTTAAATATTACATAAATGTATTATGAATTTTTAATACACTTAATGTATACATCAGCAGCAAAAAGTAATTCTTGAAAAAATCTGCACAGTAATTTTATAAAATCTAAATATGTTAATAAAAACAAATTACTATTAGTTCTCTTTTAAAATTCAATCAGGCAATCATGTCACAATTTTATATTTATATATTAATGTCAAGAATTCAGAAGTGCATAGCCTAAACTACAAATAAATTATATACAATTAAATTATGCTTATTTAAAATGTATTGAGCAGGCTAGGTATAACAAAATATATTGGCTTTTAATATTTCAGTGCGCAAACCCATGATTGAGCCCGTTCTTGCATGATGAAAAACATCGCGGGTGCAGAATGATGTGCTCAAAGCAACATGGAGTCACAGTGTGCAGCAGCACTGCGCTTCATAAATGTGCATTTAAAAGCTCATGTCACAAATCGAAGAAATGTTGAGCGCACAAATCCAAGTGCGATTTGTTCCTTCACAGTTATTGTGCGTTTGATGCCGATTCATAATCCTTGTGATATGTATGTGTGATCGGTAGTGAGTCGCTTAAAAACAGCAACAAACTCCAAGAAAATAAAGTAATTTTATGCGAATATACAGACTTTTATCTACAGATCATGCATTTATAACGTGAATATATCGTATTGGAGAGAGTTTTACCGTGCATCCAAGAGGCGCGCGTGCTGTTTGAATATGAATGGAGAATGATGACAGTCGCAGAGGAGGGAAAACGAGTTTATACTTTAACGATGTAAATATACTTCTGTCCCTCACATTAAGCTATGGAATGACTTCAGATGACTTTGTCACCCAAACTGACGTGAAAAAAAGCGGGAGGCGCCGAAAAGCGCGCTGTTTGCATCCCTGCCTGTCCAAAAACGTGGCAAAAACACACCTAAAAGCTGCTGTACCATTTGGCACTTAAAAAGCACGTCACGACACATAAATTCCCCGTCTTCTTTTACTTAAGAATATTTTTGACTTATTTATAAAATGCATAACTGATGCTACAAAAATTAATACTGGCCATTGGGGTGGCCAATGGGGTGGCCAGGAGTCGGCCAGGGGTGGCCATGGCCACCCCTGGCCACCCCCTGGTGGCGCCATTGCCAATAAAGTCAGCAAAGTCCAAGCCTGGCCCACTCCCATATCAGTCCACGTTTCATTGGCCTCGCTTCCTACTATCGCAGGTTTGTAAAAGACTTTGCCTCCATTGCTGAGCCATTACATAATCTGACTAAGAAGAATGCCCACTTCCAGTGGCACACTGAACACCAAGCTGCCTTTGACGCGCTCAAGCGCCACCTTACCCAAGCCCCTGTCTTAGGCTATTCACTGGCCCATGGTGGAATGATCCTGGACACCGATGCCAGCGACACCGGTATTGGCGCGGTCTTGTCACAAATGCAGGGTGGCACAGAACGTGTGTTGGTGTACGGCAGCCGCAAACTAACCAAAGCGGAGCAGAACTATTGCACAAGTTGCAAGCCATTGTCGATTTTACATCATGTTTTCGGCAGTACCTACTTGGGAGGCTTTTCCAGGTACGAACTGATCACAGTAGCCTGCGCTGGCTCACGCGAATGAAAGAGCCGGAAGGTCAGTTAGCTCAACTTGGTCTCTCCCACAAGCCCTCCCACACAAGATGCAACCCGATGTTATGCGCCAAATGCACGAAGGACCAGTAGGTGGACATTTTGGTATTGAAAGGACTGTAGCTAGACTTCAAACCAGATACTACTGGTACCACATGAGAGAAGATGTGGCCCTCTGGTGCCGGACTTGTACAAACTGCGCATGCAGAGCCAGACCCCACAAGACTCCACAAGCACCCATGGGAACTGTCAGAGTTGGAGCCACCATGGAGCGCATTGCACTGGACATTATGGACCCACTCAATGAGACAGAACATAAAAACAGTTATATACTCATAATACAGGAGTATTTCACCAAATGGACTGAAGCATTTGCAATCTCTGACGAAAAGGCTGTGACAGTGGCAAACGTGTCGCTTTGGAATGCCTCACTCTTTGCACAATTTTGAATCAGAGGTATTCCAAGAAATGTGCCGTTTGTTTGGCATTGACAAAACCCACACTATACCATCCAGACCACAGTCCAACGGTCAAGTTGAGCGTTTTAATGCCACACTACAAAAGATCCTGACCTCCACTTCCGAACACTGTCACTGGAATTGGGACCTGATGATCCCATATGCAGTTATGGCCTACAGAGTGACCAAGCACGGCGCTACTGGTTTCACCCCCCACTTCATGATGTTCGGCCGTGAAATACGTGAGCCAGTGGACCAGCTACCGGACTCTGACTATGCAACCTCAGCACCCGAGTATGTGCAACAAATGAGCGGTTGGAACTGGCCCATAACATCACCCGAGAAGCCCCAGTAAGTCAGTCACGCGCTCAAAAAGACAATACAACAAAAATGCTTGCCACACACAGTACAAAGTCGGCCATGCGGTGTGGTATCTTATCAAAGGAACACGTCATGTTCCTCCCCTCCTACGAAGGACCTTACTTTGTTATGGGACATTTAGATGATCTAGTCTACTGGATTCAGAAAAGCCCCAGAGCTAAGGTCAAAGTCATCCAACATGATCAACTCAAAGCTTCCCGCAGTCGTGAGCCCCTGGACAACGCTTGGGTCCTGGACCAATCCCAGAACTGGACACCTTCTGAGATCATGCCACCAGCTGTGGATGGGCACCCAGCAGACCGGGAGGATCTCGGTCTACACAGCCTCTACTCTACTGCCTTGGGTGATGGCCCCTTCTGGCTGTCTGCTCCACCTGCTACTAATTCTCACATTATCGGGTCTCTTCCACCCACTCCTTCCCATGTAATACTTGACCATTGGTGGGGGTGCGGTGGGAGAGCCACAACACCAGTCTCCGCGCGAACCTCGGCCCCAACGTCAGTGCCGGGGACCGCTCCAGTTTGGGGACTGGGTCACTGAAGCCCCTTTTCCACCAAAGCATTTTGAGAGCCGGTTCGGAGCCGGTGCCTACGCGCGAACCAGTTCTTTGTGTTTCGACAGCCAAAGAACCGGTTCGCGGCCGGGAAAACTGGTTCCAAAGCGGCACCAACTCTTTGCTTGACTAGAACCGTTCTTTTAGCACGTCATGTTTACGTCGGGGTCTGGGGCGGGTTTAAACATCTTTTCTGACCATCGCAAAGCCAGGAGAAACTGCAGAAACACGTGTTTTTATTTATTCAGTGTTTTTATTTATTTATTTATTTTTAATCTGAAACATAAGCAAAGAAGAAAACAGTCACGATATAGAACAAATAAATGGAAAGAAAAAAGACACAAGACAGGGGTACATATCAGACAAGATTACATATCAAACGAAAAGATTAAAAGACCAAGTTTTCTTGGTACATGAGTTAGAGATAATCCCAAAGCAATGTACTTGCAAGCGTTTTTAGGGACGTGCACAGTGACGTAACGACGTCGTTCCCTGGGCGCTCTAGTCATACAGACATAGAGAGTGTGTGCTAGTAGTATATTTAGATGGAATGGAATTAGTGGTAATTGCCAGTCCATGGTGGGGGTAGTGTTGTGGGATGTGTCTCCGATGTGTTTAGTTCAGGACAGCAACAAAAGAAAATTAAAAAGAAAATTAATTTTAAAGTGAGAAGAAAGTGGCAGATAAACTACACGTGGTAACAGCTAAGTTCAAGCCAGATAGCGAGTGAGAAAAAAGACAGTCAAAAAAAACAAAAAAAAAACCTTCTCAAATAAATTATAGACCCATCCATTAATATATAGAAATGAATTGATATACAGTAACAGTATATATACAGTATATATATATATATATATATATATATATATATAATCATATTAATATTAATTAATGTATATATATGTTACACCGCTTTCTTTTTTATTTATTTATTTAGTTAGGTTAGTTGTTGTTTTTCACTACATAATAGTCCATGTAAATGTCAACCCTACTTAACTATTCAGTAACTTTCATGTCGTTCGCGCGGGATGTGGGCATGTGGGCCACGGTCATCTGCTGAGAAAAAGAATGACTGAATCGAAACGAACTGTTCAAACGAACCGAAGCTCGGAATCGAGTACTACGGATGACGTCACTGGGCGGAGTTCGCGGGACGTACTAAAAGCAAATCCGCTCGCGCTCCTCTGTCCTGTAGAGAGAAGAACCACGTGTGACTGAACGCTTTCAACCTGCGCCACTCTCACAGCTAAACCAGCTTTACAGCACAAACAGCATTCAGTCATGGTCAAGCTCGCTAAGGTAAGATTTCTGCAAACACGCAGTAACAATTCAACGCTCCACGTTAAGGGGCTCAAAATGCGAAAAAAAAACAACAACAAAAAAACATATATTTGTTGTACTGCTTGTAACAGGAAGGCCCACATGTGCGACACGCTTATTTCCATTTTAGGTATTTATAGCGTTGCGATGTAAACACAAAAGTGCAAATTGTGATTTAATGATAAAGCGTGACGTCTGAAACGATGTAATTTATATGTAATCGGTTTTTGGTTTTTTTATCCGTTTTCCCGGGCTGACCACGCTTCTCCAGATTTGGTAGGCCTCAGCTGATAACTCATTAACAATAACGTTATGTGTTAGTTTTTAATGTTACACGGCTTCTACACGTGTTGAGCGAGTAAATAAATCTTTCCGCGCCGGTCAACGATGTTTGCAGCGCTTTTAACGTGTCGTGGTTTTGCTGTAACTCGTGTGTTCGCCATGTGGAGCGATGCAGCTTGATGCTAAACGCCTCCATTTTGGCTCTTTGAAGTGAACGAGCAGACATTTAACACTGCATTAAACCGCATCGCGTTGTTCATGCATATTTACGCGACTCATACCAGTATTATATGTGAGCACGACCCGAGTTTTGCTTAATCTTGCATGTTAAACGAGAAAATGTGTAAATATATATTTACTCTTCTGGTAGCGCGCATGTGGGTTTTCCACGTGTAACGCGAACCCACGTGGGTTTGTTCACGAGCGGAATTTCCACACGCAGGTTTTTGCTGTTTAAATAGTACTTTCAAACCCTAACTTTAAATTTCTTTTTCTTTATTTTAATTTTATGTATTATCTAAGGGTGTTAAGTTTAATTTAATTACGCACACAAACGTGTGCAAAATAAATAGACGCTTCGCGAGAGAAGCACGTGGTACTTAAATGATCCACAGAATATACAAAAATGTTTTGGCCATTTTGTTCGTTTTGTATGCATCCCATTCACCATTTTCTTTGTTTTTGATTTTGCTGCATCTCCAATCATTTGGACATTTGCATGCACAACATATGTATAATTTTTTTTTACGTTTGTTGCGTAAACATTAAGTTAAATGTTTTTTTCATCAGTTATCTAAACCAATGTTTTCACCTCTAAATATGTTGTATTTCAAACGCCATTGCTGGATTTGCATTTTGAATTCTCTGTTTTTATGCAGTAGTGTTTGACTTTTTAGGAATTAGACTGCAGCATGAAATGTCTTTTATTATTATTAATTTGAATCCTAAATTAAAGTGAAACTGAAACTGCCAGCATGTGATATGTACTTTACATATACACTGCTACATTTCTCATTCAGCAGGAAATGCACGCTGTGGTTTGCACGTTTTGTGTGCTTGACTTTGATCGCATTTTATGTCCTTCTAAATCCTTTTCACCCAGCTTTTACTTTGATTTAACGATTCTGTTAAATGTTAGTAATCAAAAAGCATCTCTAATTAATGTAATGGAACCTGTCAAATTTGTCAGTCCATTAAAGGGATACTTCACCTGGAAAGATGAATGTGTTTTTCAAATGGGTCATTTATGTAGAAGAAATTATTTTTAGACTGAAAAAAGCCAGAAATGTTTTTTTGGGTTATGTGGATGAAAGACAACAACTCCCAGAATGCACTTACTTCGCTGCCCTAGGAGGCCACGCCTACCGGTAACAGAGCGCAGTAGTTAAACAAGTCTAGGCTACTAGTGAGTCTTTGTGATGAGTCAGCCCGAAAATGTAAAGATTGGCCAAAATGTCCGAGATTCAGCTTTTGCGTTCTACCGTCACCATTCATTATGTTTACCGGGGCGAGTGAGGCCCGCGGGAGAACCGATGAGCGTCACCTGTGAGCAATCTCGTATCTCTCACGGAGGAGCGGGAATTTTCTAAGCAATTTTAAAACACACATCAACCGATCACTTGTTTAGCGTTCATGTAAACACTAAATTCAGATTCACCAATCGGAATGAATTCAGTTAGATTGAAACAAAAGCTGTACATGTAAACAATGAATGGCGACCGCAGAAAGCAAAAGCTGAATCCCGACATCGACGGCCAGACATATCCGAGAAAAAGAGGATGGTAACTCCTACTACTCGGCTTTCTCCACAGAACAAGAGCCTGCTAGCTTAGCTTCCAAACAAAGATGGCCGACACTATGCGTTCATTCTGTGAATGAGATCGCCCTCTATGGGCGGGTTGAGAACATGCGGGACAGACCCGACTACTGACTGTAGTCTTTCGCCTCTGGACAAAAAAATCCTCCAATGATGCAATGATTTTTCCAGACAAAAAAAAATACATAAATCTCTCGTCTCGGGGATATGAGGGTGGAAAGCACGGTAATTTAAAAATACTGTAGCTTTTCTACTAATACAAAGCTCAATACTAAATCCTGAAGTATCCCTTTAAAAAAAGCGGTCCTATGAAGTGCTGTGTTTTTCATTTAATTGCCATTTTAAGGATTTAATCAACAGATTAGTGCTTTTGTCTTACATTTTGATTCATAATGTAGTCACTTAAAAGATATTTAATACAAAAATTAGTCAAATTTTCAAAATTAAATTTGTCAACTGAACTCGTTTTTGGTGGGTTGTCAATCCTTTTGATATCTTTAACGGCGGACTTTCCAAGTGGTTACAGTAAATGCTGATTTCTATGTTTGCAGGCAGCGAAGAAAGAAGCGCCACTGAAGAAAAAGGCACCTCCACCTCCCAAAGATGTGGAAGAGGAATCCAGCGAGGAGGAGGACAGCGACGATGAGGAAGAGGTGACTACTCGACTGTGAATCTGCAACCGCTACTTTATTTGCAGCGTGATTCATAACCAACTTTAATTTCAGCAGGCTCCACCAGTCAAAGCTGCAGCAAAGAAAAACGCAGCTCCGGTAAAGGCGGTGAAGAACGGCAAAGCTGCGGCCAAACAGGAGAGCGAGGATGACGACGATGATGATGATGACGACGACTCTGGTACGCAAATCTTTCCTCAACTTTACAGTGCGTTTTGATCCCAAGCCTGACGTCTAACTAGTATTTGTCTCTTCTTTCTTCCCATTAGAAGAGGAAGCTCCTCCCCCCCCAAAGAAGGCCACCCCTGCTAAGGCCACCCCTGCTAAAGCGACCCCGGCTAAGAAAGCAGCTCCCGCTGAGGAGTCTAGTGACGAGGATGATGATGGTATGAAAACACTGGCGAAGAACAGTATGTTTAATCTATTTTCATTTTGGAGAGCAGATATCGATTCTTACATCCCAAGAATCGTTATTTGTTCAGTGTTTGATGTGTGAAAGTTCTCTAGCCGTCATTTGTGGCGCACCTTCCATCTGATAGATCGCTATAAGCGTTATGCTTTTGTTTATATGAAAGTGTCTTGTTTCAAAATGTCAATTTTATTCTGAAATTCATTGTGATGTTGTATGATCAGCTCTTTACTACTAGTTATAGCACCAAATAGACATGAATGAACATCTGAAGGATTGTTCAAATACACTGAACCACTTAGTAAAAACACCAACTTTATTGAAGACGTCAAAGCGGCTTGTAAACTAAGTTGTGTAACGCTTTATAGTTTTGACTTATTTTTAAAAAATACTTCCCTTGATCTGAGCGGTACAAGACTTACAACTCAAGACTCAATTCTACAATGTTAAGTGGGTGGAAAAAAAACTCCTTAATCTTGTATTTGGGTCAAAAATGGGCACCCATAGAAATGAATGGAAAAAACTCATTTAGATCTCTCTAAAATAAGCCAAAACAAGACACCAGGTGACGGCAAAGTCACTTCATCTTTAGGTTTTAGCTCTAAGAACTTGTTGGAATGATATTTTAATATAGTTAAAAAAATAAAACCTAAATAAGCATAATTTACATAGAAGATAATATGGTACTTTTTGAAGTAAATAAATTCAAAAATACCCCCAAATAATAAAAAAAACCATAAATGGATAGACAAAACTTTATCGAAGACAGTGATATAACATTTATAATAAATAAAAATTAGGATCAGTCTTCTGTGCCCCGAGTCATTTGTCCACAATTACAGGATTAAGGGCTATAAAGTGAATACGGTTTGAGGGCTTAAATTAAGTGTGCATTTAAAAAGCAATTTGGGAGTAAAAACCAATTAAATCACTACTGTTTGTATACTAAAACATCGAAGGTTTAAACAATTGGTTTGTAATGTATAACTTTTACATATACATGTATTGCACATTTGATAATGACTTTGTTGGCCGTGGTGCTTGACAATTTGGTGTATAAATAGTTTAGAGCGGTACACCATAGTTTTACATTATGCATCTGAATATCAAACGTATCGTAAAACGTGCCGATGCACAACCCTCGTGTTTTGTGATTTCAAGACGATGTGACCGTCTAACAACTCTATTTGCACCATTTCCTGTCTTGTGCAGAAGAGTCAGAGGAAGAGGCCCCCCCACCCAAGAAAGCTGCACCCGCCAAAGCCACGCCGGCCAAGAAAGCGGCTCCTGCGGCCAAAGCGGCTCCTGCCGAGGAGTCCGATGATGAAGACGACGACGATGGTATGAAACACTGACATCAGACTGCCTTAGGATCTTCACTCTTAATGCCCCTGTGTTGTAAATCCCAGTCTAAACTTGTGTTCCTGTTTAGATGAATCTGAAGAGGAAGAAACTCCGCCTCCTAAAAAAGCGGCTAAACCCGCAGCGAAAGCTCCCGCAGCCAAAGCCAAAGCCCCTGCACCCAAGGAGGAATCCGATGATGACGACGATGAAGATGATGGTGAGAATGGCTTTTCTTTTATTATATATGTGTGTATGTTGCACATGATGAACCACAAGGGACTTAATGCTGAGTGATTTGGATGATTCTGTGGAGCTGATGTGTCTTTTTTTTGTTTTGTTTTACATCAACTTTTTTTTTGCTTTTCTCAAATGATTTTGGTTTTCTCAGATTCAGAAGAGGAGGAAATGGACACAACTCCTGCGCCCAAGGCCAAAAAGGCAGGAATGGTGAAAGCAAAGGAGGAATCTGAAGATGACGACGATGATGATGATGATGATGAAGACGATGATGATGAGGAAGAAGGTATGAGCGCAACACTGTTATTGTATTTTTGCAGATTGGCAGACGTTCGTTTCTAAAACGCCCATGTTTTGTTGTCCAGAACCCCCAGTCACTCCAGGGAAGAGGAAAGCGGAGGCTAAAAAAGATAAGGCGACACCACCTGCTAAGAAAGCTAAAACTGATGGCGAAGGTGAGACTTGCGCTCTATCTTCTTTAGTTCTTGCGCATTTAACTACATATGATGATCAAAAGGGACTTAATACTGATGAATGTGATGTCACCTTTTTTATCAATTCTGATGCTAGTTGACGGAAAAGTGTGTATGTCCTTGTCGTGGAATTGTGAAGTAACTTTGGTGTAAACTTTCAGGTTTCAGTCTCTATTTGGGCAACTTGAACTGCAATAAGGACTTTGACGAAATTAAATCTGCGATCTCCAAGTTCTTCTCAAAGGAAGGTCTTGAAATTCAGGATGTGCGACTTGGTGGGACCAAGTAAGGAGAATAATTTTTTTTAAATCGTTGAATGTTGATTTGACTCTTGAATGTTGATTTGACTGTTAATTTGACTCTTGAATGTTGATTTGGCTGTTGATTTGACTCTTGAATGTTGATTTGACTCTTGAACTTTTATTTGACTCTTGAATGTTGATTTGACTCTTAAATTAATCTTCCAAATGTCTTTTTGCAGGAAATTTGGCTACGTTGACTTTGCATCTGAAGAGGATTTGCAGAAGGCTTTGGCCCTCAACGGCAAGAAGCTGATGGGCCAGCCGCTGAAAATCGACCGCGCCAGGAGCAAGGAGGACTCCCAGGAAAGCAAAAAAGGTAATGTCCTTCAGCCGACACTTCAAACGCCAATCCAACCGAGTCTAGAAAGGATGTCAGCTTATCAAACACCTGAACTCTCATGTGGATACCATGATGGTCAAGTACTGATCTGGATCCGTCGGCGTGCTATACATGGTAACTTTCAGTTTCCAGAAGCCAATGTTTTACCGTCTTTCTCCCCTCAGAGAGAGATGCACGCACTTTATTCGTAAAGAACCTCCCCTACTCCGTAACGCAAGACGATCTGAAGGAACTCTTCGACCAGGCTGTTGATATTAGAGTACCGATGGGCAACAACGGTTCAAGCAGAGGGTAAGCTTAACCTGTGACTGTTTGTGTTGACGCAACTTGTTTTGAGCAAACGGTTGACTGACATCCTCCACTTTGGTGACAGAATCGCTTACGTTGAGTTCAAGACCGAGGAGATCGCAGAGAAGATGCTGGAGGAGGCACAAGGTGCCGATGTTCAGGGGCGCTCCATCACGGTAGACTTCACCGGGGAAAAGAGCCGGCAGAGCGGGAGATGTGAGCAACAATGCCATCTAGTGGTCTTAAGTTCCTGTTTTAGATTTGTTTTTATCAATGCTAATTAAATGCGTTTCTTGTTTTCTAGCTCAATCAACCGGTGGTGCTTCAAGCAAAGTCCTTGTCGTAAACAATCTGGCATTCAGCGCAAGTGAAGATTCACTCCAGAGTGTGTTTGAGAAGGCCGTGTCCATCAGGATACCCCAGAACAACGGCAGGCCGAAGGGGTACGTCCAGCACTTCACTAGTGTCTTTGAGGATGTGTTGGAGTAGGCTCATATTACAACTCCCCCAGAGTTAAACAGTTAAGTTTTACCGTTTTGGAATCCATTCAGCCGATTTTCTGATATTTAGACTATCAGTAACCAGACAGTTTCTGGTCTCATTGACTTCCACCATAGTAGGAAAAAACCATACTATGGAAGTCAATGGGACCAGAAACTGTCTGGTTACTCATCGTCTTCTAAATATCAGAAAATCAGCTGAATGGATTCCAAAACAGTAAAACTCAACTGTTTAACTCTGGGGGAGTGTTAAAATGAGCCTATTTCCCAAAAAAGTGGAGTATCCCTTTAATATGGCTATCAAACTAAAGTTTAGAGTCTACAATGACGCCTAAATATTTAAATTCTTCCACTCCCTTGGTTTCATTTAGGTCAATTTTGATGCACTTTCTTTTCTGAAAGCACGTAGAAACTGTTTTGTTATAATTTAAAGTTCAACGGTTATCCGCAGCCACTGGGAAACGCTGACCATTTGTCTAGTTAACATTTCTGCAGCCAAATGAGAGGTTTCTGCTGTTAAATAAATAGCGTCATCTACATACATTTGACAACCGACCTCCTTGCAACTTTCAGGTAGATCATTTATATACAGACAAAAAAAAGCAAAGGGCCCAATATTGAACCTTGTGGTACACCTAGTTTGCATTTTTGAACTGATGACTTTAGACCACTCATTTTAACATATTGCTGTCTACAATCCAGGTATGATCTAAACCAGTTTGTTGAGAAAACAATGGAGTGTGCTTTGGAAGGCTATACCATTAACATCCATTTCCTGTGCATGTGTGACTTAATTTCAAAATCAATGGCTGTGCGCCAAATTCTTAAGCCATTTGTTCTACAAAACGTTCATATTGTAAACAAGTTTGTCAAATCAAGCCGCATTTTTTTTTTTCCTGATATTTTTCAGGAGAATTTAATTTTCTCTTGCTCTTACACTAAATAAAGCTGGTCATCATTTTACCGTATTTACGGTGCTAAGAATGTCTATCTGTAAAGGAGTGGTGTGTTGGGCAAGTTTTCGGATCACTAATGAATGGCGGTTAATGTCTATTGAGAAAGTAAAATGTTTTAATTTTGGCTCTAAACATTTGTGTGAAGCATCTTGGACTGGTCTAATGTCTTGTTTTGTTTTTCTAGATATGCATTTTTGGAGTTTGAAAATGTGGAGGATGCCAAGGAGGCGCTGGAGAATTGCAACAACACAGAAATTGAGGGCAGAAGCATCAGATTAGAGTTCAGTCAGAGCGACCGAGAGCGAGGAGGAAGAGGAAACTCTGGTTTGTGGATTTGCTGCTTACTAAAGTTTTATCAGCTTAATATTGTTTGCAAACGCTTGGTAAGAATCAAAGCGCTAACCATTTCCACCCTTTGTAGGGCCTACAAAAACCCTGTTTGTCAAAGGTTTGTCAGAAGACACCACAGATCAGTCTCTGAGAGACTCTTTTGAAGGAGCCATTGGTGCCAGAGTCGCCATGGACAGAGACACCGGATCATCAAAAGGGTACGGATGTGTTCGATTCCCTCAAACCGATGTTTGTGCTTCTCATGAGCTCCTCTCTGTCAGTTCAGTGGCGTTGTATGGATTCGCACGAGAAGTAGATTCAAAGTCACACTCAAACAGGTGTTTCCAAGCGTTTCATTGGAAAGCACCCATGTCTGATGTGAGACATCTTTAGCCATTTCGATCCAGAAACTGTTTTTACCCCCTTGAATGTTCACTGAATATGGATTCGTCCCCCAGATTCGGCTTCGTAGACTTCGATAGTGAAGAAGACTGCAAATCCGCAAAAGAAGCCATGGATGACGGAGAGATCGACGGCAGCAAAGTGACCCTGGACTACGCCAGGCCCAAGGGCGAGGGCGGCCGAGGCGGGGGCTTCGGCGGCAGAGGAGGGTTTGGAGGACGAGGCGGCGGACGCGGGGGTTTCGGAGGCCGAGGGGGCGGCGGTAGAGGAGGTGGATTCAGGGGCGGACGAGGACGAGGCGGCGGAGGAGGCTTCAGAGGAGGGAGAGGAGGAGGTAGGTGTCAACTACCCAAAACATGATTCGTAACGAGACACAAACGCATTGTAATTAATGATTAGAGCACCAAATAGCTTGATTACAGAATATTTGAAAGTTCCTCTTACCCTACCTTTCAGTGGGATTGTGTAACATCTACAAAACTAACCATTTCCAGGCGTCATACATAAACTGTCCTAGAGTTTTAATTCGATCAACATCACATTTGGTGCATCTCTTCTAGAGCCCGACCGATAAAGGATTTTGAAGGCTGATACCGATTCAAATATTGTTTGGTTTTAAAATCCAATTTTCCGATATATCTGCCGTTTTTTTTATTTATTTATTTTTATTTCAGAAATGCACAACAAAACATTAACAGATTTCCCTAAGATTAGTTATTTGTAGTTTTTAATTAAAAAACAATTTTTTTTATATCCCCATCTAGCGGTGAAAAGGTATATGACCATCCAGTGAATATTAGTTTTTGTTCCCCTCAATTCCGATTTCGTTTTAACTCCTACGGTGGCCAATGTTGTCCAAGATTAACATGGCTTCCAGTTTGACCTCGTCCATGAGTGTTAACTCAAACGTAAACGCGAAAGGTGAAGCTTGAATTAACGGGTATGTCCCTCTTTGGCTAATGTACTGTCAAGATGGAGGGGCAATATGGCGACCGACATTAGAACCCCTTACCCGTATGTATTTTCAATGGCATATTATACACTCACGAGAATATTTTATTACTTGAACGAAGTAAATGTACATTAATGAGCACACATATTTTTGAAAGAACTAAGTACTTTTAAGCGAAGAATAAACTAAAAGAGATGCACAATATAGCTTTAAAAAGAAACTTGTTAGCTAGTCTATGATGAGCCATAATTTAGCGATGGATTGTCATATTGAAAATGTATGTTTTACAATTTGCAGTATAACAGGCCAAGGAGAGATGATGCGTCTCATTGCTATAACGGTCACGCGCTATTAAAGAAATACTTCAGTCACATTGTCAAAAGTTAAAGGACAGTCAGTCAACTACCCTGTAACAACGTAACGCAACTATTACTAGCTAATTCCGCTTCACTCTCGGCTCATTTAACAGCAGCAAAACTGGACTAGATAGTCACAGATTTTGTGATGCTCAATGAGTGTTGCCCTCTGGTGGACAAACTATACAACTCCAACACTCATGACATGGTTCAAGCGTGTTTCGTCCGTTTTTATTTTTGAAATATTCATTTATCGGCCATTATAACTACCGATAGTTTGGAAAATGCCTAATATCGGCCTGCCGATATATCGGTCTGGCTCTTCTAAAGGCGTTTGCTGAGATCTCGAGTTTTCATGGCGGCTTTACGGAGTTTGTTTCGCCATGAAACTGGAAGCTGTAGTTACTCAAGCATATTCTGCAAGTGGTTGAAAGTAGAAAAGCTTTTTACACCCCGTTTACACCTGTATTAATGGTGCGGTCTATTATAGCCAATGAACCGACTCGGTCTTCGGATATGACGTCACGTCCACACTTGAAGCGTTCTATTATGTTTTGCGTGTCAGAGATAAAAATGGACGCCACCCAGAAAGCTGTTGTAATGGTAGCGCTGGCCGAGTACCAGGCGCTCCAAAATAAGAAATTTTCATGTTAATCTTCTGTTAGCAACCTTAGTGATTGCACTCAAAACAACCGATTCCCATACCAACAGGGGACGCAGTAATACGAGTGATTATAATCGTCATTTAAAATACCAAAGCGGTTTAAAAACAATGAAAACAATTCATACTTACAAGTCACCCAGGGCGCAGCCATCTTGAATTCTGAAACAATTCTTGCTCTGTGGCATTCGAGAGGAGAAATCCGAGGAAAGGGGGTGTTGCTAGGCAACATCTGTCTTCCGATTCGGAACTCTGAGACGGATGAATAATAGAACGCACCATAACGTCATCCACTTTTGATCCGATCAAACAAAGCATCTAAGGCTGTGTTTATACAGAAACGATTCTGAAGAGAAAACGCGAAAGTGGTGTTGCGTTATCACTTTATTCTGCGTTTAGACGGCGTTTTGTGTGGGAAATCCGTGTGCAAATGGTGACGCAAAAGTGTGTGAAATTCAATGTAGTATGCACTTCAGGCGGCTAGGAGTGCATCCTACAACAACACCAAGTCCATGCGTCTGCGTACAACCTTCACGGTCAAGCAGACTTCTGTGTTTTCATGCTTTACACGGGAACGCGGCGGTGTTTTCGCTTCTTTGCGTTTTTAAGCCTCAAAAACGCCGTCGCCGTGTAAACGAAAGGCACATCCGATAAAATATTTTTACGTTTTCACCTGCGAGCGTTCTCGTATAAACAGGGCCTTGTATACCAGCTGTAAACGGCCATGCATGCCATCATTCAGAGTCATGGCGCCACCTACTGGTTGCAGAAGCTGTGGCACACAGTCATAATCCACCTATATTTACCAGTTTAAGAGCGTATTGCTGTTTTCTTCACTTTTTTCCTGAGGCCACCTGGAGTTACAACAGCTTCCCGTTCATGGCGAAACGGACTTTGAAGATCTTGAAAAGCCTTCAGATGAGATTCACTGAATATGATGTTGATTAGATTAAAACTCTAGAATGGTTTAAGTACGACACCTAGAAATGCGACCAGTTAACTGCAATTTAAATGTTTTTCCCTGTCAGTTTTTATTAATGTTAGTCACTACATATACCAACAAACTATTGAATTATAAATTGAAACTTTTCTTTTCTCCCCCTCAGGTGGACGAGGAGGATTTGGGGACAGGCCACAAGGAAAGAAGATTAAGTTTGATGATTAAGTCTGTAATTGAATGAACTGTTTTCATTGCTTAAATCCACTTTTGTCAGAGCATTTCTAGGACATTCCAGAAAGCGTCAGTAACTGTACAGTGACCCCCGACCCCACGCTCCCCATGAACTGAGTTCTGAGAGGTCCCAACCATCCGAGTAAAAATGAAATGTGAATGTTGTAATTATGCTCTGCTGGTTTAGGTACATGTTGTACATGCTACGGTTTGTTTTGTTTCTTTTGTTAGTGTGTTTTCCATTTCTCCCTCAATTTTTATTTAATTTCATCAACTTTTTTTTTAGTTGCCTTTTAGGTGCAAGTTTAATGTGCAGTACCTTTTTAATGTGCAAAGCATATTGTAACGTATACATGGATTGACACCTATTTAGTAGTAATTAGAGATAAATCTATATGAGAGTTTTGAATGTTGAGGTTGGACAACAGCTCTGTGAGGATAATGTCAAATTTATACATCCATTAAATTTGGCTTTTGTGACTTGAGGTTTTCTTTTTCCAGTTCAGATTTTTCATAATGTAAAGAACCATTTTGATTAAATATGGTTTTTAAACTGTTTGGTTGTGGTTTTTGAAAGGTGTGTATGTGTTGCAAATAAGATCTACAACTGTAATTTTAGGCTTTTTCCTAAATTTGAAAATCCAATTGGTTTCATGCACAGCTGCACTACTTCCTGAACTTCAGCCAGCTCCTGGTTTCCTGTCTGCCATTATTGGATAAATTGATTAATTCAGGTGTGCCTGACCTCAGTCACACGGCAACAATAATTAGACACACCTGAATTAATCAATTTGTCCAATAATGGTAGAAAGGAAACCAGGAGCTGGCTGAAGTTCAGGAAGTAGTGGTGCAGCTGCATTCTTAAAAAAAGGGTACATTGGGGTTATATGAAGCACAGGTTTCTTTCCTCAACTCCAAAGGAACTTTCATGCTAAAAAAAGGTTCTGTAATGACAAGAAAGAACCCTTTGACACAAAGGTTCTTTATAGGCTATTATTCATTCATATATTACATTATTCTGCAACATTTAGTAGATGCAATTAAGTTATTGTTTATTAAACTGTTGTAACTTAATATCACATTTTAATCATGCTGATTTTTGGAGGATAAAAACTGAAATGTCACTTGTGATATTGATTAATTGCATTTTTTTTACTCCCATATCTTGAATTTTGTTATCATTCACATGCATTGCATTTTATGGATTCCAAATACGTAGCGCTAGAACCTTTTAAGGTTTTATATAGAACCTTTTCTTCTAAGAGTGTGTGCATAAAACCTATTAAAAGCCAAACTGGTGACATTTCCCTAGTCTGCCAATCAGAACAATGGAAGTGTAATGCATACCGTAAAGCCAACTAACGTTGATTAAACTTACTTTTAATGCTATTTTCTCTCAACTATGAGAACAATGCCACAACATCAGAGAAGTACCGGAAAAACAACCTGTGTGAGACATTGAGTCCTTCAGACTACTAGAAACACTTGCCAGAAAACGCTGTGTTTGTTACAGATAAAACACATTAACATCAAATTGTTTGCTAGTTCAACATGACGGTTTTCAATGGCTGTGAGAGTTTTAACATCTTATAAATATGAGTTAATGATGACAAACGCAAACTAATGTTTCCAATGGTGGAGCTGCCTTCCGTTTAGTTTGTAGAGCGACTCAAGATGGCGCCACCGCTCCTGTTGGTCGAAGAGCGGAAATATCTTTGAGAATCGGTCGGACTCGGGCGTCTTCCACTACGTCGCTAGTTATTTATTTTTGTTTTTCTTTTAATGACGACAATTATTAACTAATTGACACACAGAAAGTCTAGAGGCAACTTGAGTTATAAAGTCATAAAAAAAGTGTTTTTAGAGCAGTCTTGGCCATAATCCCCTACTGTAATGCTAGTCACGTCCAAATGAGGGCAGTCTCCCCGAGAAAGAAGATCACGCGTTAATGTTTTTTTTTTTTTTTTTAACTACAGCAGGGAGATACTTCCAAAAAACAGTAATTGAACATTTAAAGACGGTCCCTGTGGCTTGTCTGAAAGGTAAATTAAGCTTATTTCCCCACAAGTTATCTGTTTATTAAGCTGCTTTGAGGTGGTTTATTTATCAAATCAGGCAGCGACCTGCTGAAGTGATGGTCTGGCTTTTTGTGTGTGAAATGTTTGCTAGTGCTAGTGCAAGTAAATGAAAATTGTTCCCTTAAAAAAATCTTTTGAATATAAGACAACAACGTTCACACCACATGTAAGTGTCAGCTCTGAGAATACATTTCGGGGTAAATGAGATGTTGTGTGGAATAGGCTACTATTTAACTTACTTAGGCCTACACAATAATTATTGATGACGTGCTAGCTCGAAATTTTGACATAGCCTACAAAAGTCAATATATGACATGCCGAGACAAAAAGTCATGTTTATATGTCCATGCTATGACATCATAGAAAGTTTAGGATATGACTTTCATTTATAACATTAACGTTTTGTCATAAATTCACCTTTCTGATTCTTACTCATTGCTCAGTGTGTCATAATTTGGCTAAGTGTGTTATAAGTTAGAACTTTTCTAATGTCATAATTTTGATTTGGTGTGTCAATTAAGATTTAGCAAGTCATAATTTCGATGTTTTTAAATCCATTTTATGACGTTTTAATTTCAATTTTCTGATCTGAATTATGACTGTATGTCATTATTTCGACTTTTTATGTCAATTCCTATTTCGTATGCCGTAATTGGTATTTTTTTTATCATAATTTTGACGTTTTTTTAATCCCATAGACCCATAATTATGATTTAGTATGCCATAATTGTTACTTTTATGTAATAATTACTAAATTTTTGCTATTATTTATTTTTGTCCATTTTGACTTGCATAATGATCACTTTTTGATTTATAATTTTGTCTTTTTGTCATAATTTAGATTCTTTTGTCGATTTCAACTTTTTGTCAATTTAGACTTTTTAATCTCATAATTTGACTAGTAATTTACATTTTTTGTCGAAATTTTGACTTTTTATTCTCATTATTTGACTTTTTGTCATAATTTAGATTTTTTTTTTGTCAATTTCAACTTTTTGGTCTCATTGTGACTTTATGTCATAATTGCGAGTTTTGTCAGTTTCGACTTTTTAATCCAATTATTATGATTTAGTATATCATAAATATGACTGATAACTTTTTGTCATAATTTCGATTTAGTATGCTATGTTATAACTATAACTAAGCATGTTTTGCTTGTTTGGCTTCCATAAGGATTGTTTAATGAAGTTTAATATCTCTTCGTTTTATTAAGGTGAACTTCTTTGATACTCTGTTCTGTCATGTCATTGTTCATTTTTATAACCATACTTAATTGGACATCGACACGTACGCAGAGTGCTGAAATAGCCCATGGTGATGACACTTGACACTTGGGCCCAGTAAGATGTTTTCAAAGAAATGAATACTCTTATTCAGGAAAAACGACATTTATATCTATTTCAAATAAATGTCATCGCTACTCCTCAAGAAACAAACTCACAGAATCAGAATCAGAGAGAGCTTTATTGCCAAGCCACTCTTCACAGTATGGACACAATTGACTGAATATTATTTTCTCAATGGATAATGAATGAATAATTTGGTCCATGCCAAACCCAGTCATTCCTAACTTTAAAGATTAGATTTCAGTAACGGAAAGCTGCATTGCTTCATTCCTGTGTTTGATTTCATTCTCAGTCATGTGACGTGGCTTTGTGATATAACCGGCAGAGTCACCATCTAGATACTACAGTGTCTTATCTACAGTAGAAGTCAAAAACTCTGCTGGGAAGTGCCAAGATGTCTATGTCTGTGTAGCAGTTTATAGAATAGACCAACAGTTTATCTATGGTCTTTTCCAGATGTTTGATGTTCACTTTTTTTGTGTGGGTTCTTCAATAGTGTTTTGATTTTTTTTACTGGGTATACCATCCTAAAAACATATACAGTGAACTTTCACATTTTTTTCTGTCTTAGTATTCTAGACAATCTCGTTTGTTGACTTCTATCTACTTTAAAGGGATAGTTCACTTTGAAATACATTTTTGATACGTTTTAGCTTACCTCAAGGGCATCCGAGAGGTGTCTTTGTTTCCGCAGTATTTTCAATTTTTATATTTTTAGGTCAAACCGTTCTTGTCAGTCGTACAGATACTCGTACTCGTAAATGTAAGTACACATTGATGGCCCAAGACACGAAACGAGCGGTTTGTGTGAGAAAACGAACAGTATTTATATAGTTTTTACATCTTGTAACCACAGCCACAAAGCGCCCGCGCCCTCAGATCACTTGGACGTGGCTGTGGTTTCAAGAGGTAAAAACAATATAAATACTGTTCGTTTTCTCACACAAACCGCTCGTTTAATGTCTTAGGCCATCAGTGTGTACTTACATTTACGAGTCATTAAATCATGTTTAATTTGGACTTCTCTGTGCATGCTCTTTGAGGTGGTGACCATAGACCTCCATTATATGACTAACAGACAAGAACGGTTTGACCTAAAAATATCAAAATTGAAAATACTGTGGAAACAAAGACACCTACATCTTGGATGCCCTTGAGGTAAGATAAAACATTTATTTCAAAGTGAACTATCCCTTTAAACACTGTTTAGTTGCTATAGTACATCTTGTTCTAGAAAAATATGCAAAATAATACCATCTATTGTGGGATTTGTTTTAAAGGGTCAGAAGGTGGAAATCTTTTTACACATTAAATATATTGTACATTTTATATCAATACCTTTAAATCAAACCTTTGACAAAATATTGTGTATTTCATATATGAAATATATGCTATATATTATTGTATTTTAAATATTTGAATTGTTTTGTAATGTGTACATTATGAATTCACAAAATCCCAAGTAGAGACAACGTATTAGGCCTATAAATACATTTATATATTCTTATGTTATATTGTGCTATGTGTCCGTGTGTGTATTTGTGCGTGCATATATTTAAAAATGTATGTTATATTATTATATTTTGAATTATGTTGAAATGTACTCATTATTAGAAGCTTTGAAAACAACTTTGAAAACTAATGCTATTTTTTTTTTTTAACTTGACGTCTTGAGGAAGACTAAAAATGCTTGCTTTCCCCCTTTAAGTTCACTTCGGACACTTCAAAGGATATACAATCAAACTAAAAAACAATTTTTTTGAAGAAATGTTTATTTACAAATAATAATCCATGTTCACCTTCGTGTTCATTCTAGTCATATTCTACACAATCAGACCTTGTAGTTCTGATTACAAATGTAAGTGTTTTGCGTAACTTTCAAGTACAGTTAAATATCATACACCAGACTCCGCCCCCTCTGATCCATGGATGTACCAGACAGTTTGCTGTTTCACAGTTTTAAAGTAAACCCTCTACCAAACGCATTTCAAGTCTATGGGAAAATCAAACAATGCCAATGTGTAAAGCACACAACAATACGCTCTAAATGACGCAACCTCTCGAACAGTAAGATATATGTAAATTATGTTATATTAGAAATGTACACAAACCACGTGAAGGTAACATTCATCCACAGAGGGGCAGATTAAAACAAAAACACTGAGGTAGAGACTAGTTTCCTTCTATTTTGGACAATTACATTTTGTCTTTGATGTATGACTTAAAGTAATTGTTCACTTAAAAATGAGAATTATGTCCTTTTTCTTGTCTATACATTGAATGTCAATTGGATCCAAAACAAAGAGCACTTTGGCGTTCTTGAAAATAATTTTGGGTTCCACAGACGAGTCAAACGAGGGTTGTAAATGTTTTGCATTTCAGGTTTCTGTAGCCTAAAGGCCTGTTCACACCGGGAAGAATTTTGCGTGCGATATTCACCGACGTTTAACGCCTCGTGACTAAACAAAGGGCGCCAATGTGAGTGTGCACACCGACGCGAAAAAAAACACATGTAAAAGCGTCATTTAAAAAAAAAACGCCTCAGATTTGTTTTGTTTTTTAGTTTGATGCGCAGTGTCAAACTATCCGACCAATGAGATTGCCGTTTTTGCTCACGTGTTTGGAGCTTCTGAAGTTACAGTAAAACACAACTTGGGGGCACTCAAACACAAAACGGTCTTGGCGAGCACTCATACGTAACGGCGAAGAAGATATACGCCAAGTAGCGTCGCCATCTACACAGCCAGGAATAAATAAGACGAGGAAGATGCGAGGCAAGATGAATGTAGAGCCGCTGGTCTCGTTGGTGTTGGAACATAAAGAACTATATGACAAACGCGACAGCGACTACAAACATCTTGATAAAAGAAATTGATATGGAGTGGTATTACAGAGGAAATCGGCGCCATCTAATGTCAGGGAATGAATTGGCATGTTCACTCGGCCCATCTTTAGTGAAAATCGCTGTGTGTGAACACAAAAAACACGTTGAAAAAACGCGCTGATATTCATCCCGGTGTGTACGGGCCTTAAAGATTCCCCAAAAAAACTAGGTTACCAAAAAAAAAAAAGAAAAAAAGACCTCTCACATTATTTACACTATCCACATTACATACTATGTCATTTGGTACATAAATTAAAAAAATTGTCCAGAAATCTCCTCAAAAAAGGAGTACTTTATCTTCGAGTCGCCTCAAAGTTCTCTCTCCGCAGATCCTTCATTTCCTTTCCTCCAATGGCGAATGAAGATCCTTCGGATTCAGAAACGACAGCAAAGTCTCAGACTATAGGAACTCCGATTTCTGCGAACAGATCAAGTCACTGTTGACCAGTTTCCACATGTTTATTAGATCCGGCGGGAGCAACTTATGTACCACTATCATGCTCTTAAAGAAGCACGGCTCCCTGTTCAGCCGACTGGTTTTGTTCTTCACGAGCCCGAACGTTTTGAAGGCGTCGTGTTTTACCGGAGTCACCTGAAGCACCTCCAGGCACATTCCCAGGAACACGTCGTCGATGGGATAAAGCTCCAGAGTCTCGCAAGCTTCGTAGAGTTTCCGTGCCAAAGGACCGTCCATCAGGAAACCCCCTCCGCCGGCGTACGGCGGGTACAGCGTCTTGTTATACAAGGCCTGCGGGATGTAGTACTTGTTCTGCTTCTTGCGAATAGGCTTGGCTTTGAAGAGAACGTCTCCGACAAAGAGGTCCTTCAAGTCTTTGCTGACTTCCAGATACTCCAAGATGTTGGGAACGCTGACAAACACGTCGTCGTCTCCTTTAAAGATGTATTGGGTTTTTCCACAGTACGTGGAGAACCATTTCAAGAAGTGGATCTCCTTGAGGGTCAGGTTGAAGAAGCTATCCATGAAGTCCCATTGCAGGATGTCTCCGTAAATGTAATCCTCGTATTCCAGGAGCTTCTGATGATTTGCCCGTTCTTCAATGTTGGAAGACGTTCCGAGAAGGAAAATGGTCTTGATTCGCTTTCCGTTGATCACTTGTTCTTTGCCCCAAGTTTGCCGAATCACCTCCCGCCGGTCGTGCTGCGTTATGACCGACTTGATGACCATGAGCAGGTCCACGTCTCCGGCACACTTCTCCGGGTGGTTCATGAGGATCGGGAAGTAGCGGCAGTGCCTGTAGACCAGGAACTCCTTGAAGTTGGCTTCGAGACCCGTGAACCAGTCCTCTGAGGAGAAGTTGAGGTTGATGCTGCAGTTGGAGGAGGTGACGTCCCATGTGGTGGGCCTCTGCTTTTTGGTTGTGCTCGGACCGTTGGTGCTCAACCCGAGCCGTTCCTCGCTCTTCCAGAATTTGACAGCAACCGAGGCGTTTCTCTGCAGCTCACTGTCCGCCATGAGCTCCATGCGCGTCTGCCTCGCGATGTGGTCCGCCTGGAGGTCCTGCAGCGAGGTGAGGTTCCCTCTCTGGACCACGGTGAGCGTGACCACGGCCAGGAAGAACATCAGGCAGATGCGCTTGTAAACTCGCCATCGCTCTCTGGTCGTCATCCTAGAGTCGAGAAAACGAGAACTGTGATCTCCTTCTAATACATTATAGACAAACGGCTTCGGCATAAAGCAAACTCTTAAAGGAGTGGTTCACTTTTAAAAAAACTTTTGCTGATAATTTACTCACCCCCATATCATCCACAACGCATTCTCACCCCAAGGCGTCACCTTTGACCATGCTTCAATATTTGACGTTTTAGGCGCCCTTTAGCGTCACTTACATGACGCGATCCTACGGCGTCATCTAACTGACGCTAAAGGAAAGCGTCAGTTAGAGGACGCGGTTAGGTTTAGGTGTGGGGTGGGGGTAGGGTACACGCGATCCTAGGGCGTCATCTTACTGACGCTAAAGGGCACCTAAAGCGTCAGATATTGAAGCATGTCCAAATGCTTCCCAAGGCGTCAGATAAGTGACGCCTTGGGGGTGAGAATGGGCTGTCATCCAAGATGTCCATGTCTTTCTTTCTTTAGTCGAAAAGAAATTAAGGTTTTTGATAAACATTCCAGCATTTTCTCCATATAATGGACTTCAATGGGAACCAAACGGTTCAAAGTCCAAATGACAGTTTCAGTGCAAACTGTTCAAAGGGCTTTAAACGATTCCAGACGATCAATAAGGGTCTTATCTAGCGAAACGATCACTCATTTAATAAATAAATAACAAAGTTTAAGTTTTGAGCGTTCGTGACTCTCCTGTTCGAACTCGTTTATCAAAATAAACACATCTTTTTTCGAGTCATGACTCGAAAGGGTCCTAAGACACTTATTCATCGTCTGGTGTCGTTTAAAGCCCTTTGAAGCTGCACTGAAACTCTCATTTGGACCTTGAACCGTTTGGTTCCCAATGAAGTCCATTATATGGAGAAAATCCCGGAATGTTTTCATCAAAAACCTTAATTTCTTTTCGACTGAAGAAAGAATGACATGGACATCCTGGATGACATGGGGGTGAGTAAATTATCAGCAAAAGTTTTTTTTTTTTTTTTAAGTGAACTACTCCTTTAATGTAACACCTTATTGTAAAGGTTTACCGTTTTGTTTATTTTCTATTCACTTAATTTTGCAGTCATTGTTAAATATGTTGCATGTACTTACCATAGCAATAACAGTATGTTATGCACAATTACATGCAACAAGCCCTCAACCAAACCCTAACCCTATAAGCACATGTAGCTGATTAACATCAGCACTGAAGTATAAAATTACACTGTAACAATGACACCTTACAATAAAGTTAAACCGTTGAAGGTGTCATTGTAACAGCATTATACATGGAGTTACTGAGTAATATTAATGAACAATATGCACTTATTATAGAGTTAGGGTTTGGTTTATGGAAAGTTGTTATAACTTCATTAAGTACATGTTACATATGTAACAAGGACACTAGAATAGTGTTACCTGCTTCTTTCTTTTTTGTTAGATGAACTTAATCGATATTAGATTTAGTATTTTAATATTATAGACCAACTCTCTCATGTGCATGTTGTTAATTAATGTTATCCAGTAATTACATGTATAATCAATAAAGCAATATTTAAAGCCTTGAAACATAAGCAAATTATATTGAGTTCCATTGAAATGTAGATTTCCATCCAAACAATGGAAATATTGTTATCTCCGATGATCAAGTGCATAAACAAATGTTTAGATTATTTTCCGTGGAATAAAATTATGTCTTTGTTTTTTTCAAAGGGTTTCAGGTTTATTACAGATATGTGATATAATCATGTGAGCATTTGATAGTTTAGTTTTAAAAATGACAAAAACACAATAATGCAATCTGAATATTTGAATTCCACTATGACTGAAATGTGTAAAAATCAATTGTGTTACGTTTATTTCACATTATTTTTTTACAACACATCATAAGGCATGAGTTAATCAGTTATTTGAATATTATATTATAATGTTCACTATTTAACATGTTAATGTACCATTTCATGGCATATTTGAATGAAGTGTATTTACATATTTCATAATATTTTGCAGTAATGAATGCGGTGTGATTTGAATATGGCAAACCACAGATGCTGTTGCTAACCCATATCCCGTTGCCAAAGCCTATATTTTATAATATTAATATGGTTTTAAATATAAAATCGATTTCTAAAGAAAAAAAAAACAGGTAACACTTTATTTTAGTGTCTTTGTTAGTTACATGTACTTAGCTATAACAACTAACCATGAATCAAACCCTAACTCTAAAATAAGTGCAAGTTGTTACTTATTATTTCTCAATAATTAAATGTATAGACTAATCAAACTGTAAAACGGACGCCTTAAAATAAAGTGTAACCAACTATAATATTAACAAAACGGTACTTTATAATAACGTCGGATAGGTTAACACTATTGAATGCATCGGTTAACAAAAACAATATCGATTTAAAGCATTTATTAACCTCTGTTAATGTTATTGAACATATAATTGTCCATCGATTGTTCACAGGAGCCTACAGTACATTAACTAATGTTAACAAATACAACTTCTGACATAATAATATAGGCTACTAGTAGCAATTATGAAATTAAAATTAAGTAAGATTAATAACTGCTATTGTTCAGTGTTAATTCGTGTTTCCTAATAACAAATGAAAGCGTATTGGAAAGTGTTAACAACACAACAAACAAACACTTCACGATCAGATACTCACATTTTTGAAAGTTTGTCGTATATATGATAGCTTCTGTTAATTGAAAAAGGTCTGCTGTTCTTCAGATGAATGACAGGGTCTCTTTAGACAATCCGGTAAATAGTTTCAATAAAAACAGAAAAGAAACGCAACAAAACTCCGAAGCAAAGAGTTCACATGAAGACGCGAGAGCAAAGCGCAACATCCCCAAAGCGCAGCCGGTTTCTTTTAAGCGTGCGTGACTTATGCAAATGAGGGCAGGGATGACTCCGCCCACCGCCCACGCGGTGATTTACATTGAAAATAAAATATAGTTGCTTTCACCTCAGATACAATAGAGATAGCTCAAAATGATGTGAAGTTTATTTTGTTATATATAGCCTATAACTCTCAAGGGTGAATTTTTTTCTTGGAAGTCTTAAGAAAAGCAAAAGTGGATGTTACATCTGATGTATGTGTTTATACTTAATCCCAAATTCAACCCCAGCGGTCTGACGTAAAACTACGAGCATGTCTCTAATATCCACCATGCTTCGGTCTGGATTTATGAATTGACATAATATGTCAATAAATTGGCAAACAATTGTGCGTCAAACACTCCTCCTTCAGGCTTGCTTTGTGTGTGTGCAAATCCAAATGGTTGAATCAACAACAGTCAGAATAATAAAAGAGTTGTCTATATACACTTACTCTGATGCAAAATCCTGCGTCATTTTCCTTCTGGCACAGTGGAGTAACTTTGTCATTTTTGATGCTGTAAACCTTTTCTGTCTTCTTAAAAGAAATTCTGAAATCACATTTAAACAATTTTCCATTTCTTGTGAGATAGTACAGGACTGTTGGGATTTGCTTTGCCTTTGAGCTCTTTAAAAGACATTTGTTTGTGATGTAATGGCCCTCTTTAACTCTCTTTCTTATATTTATTTTTATTTCTCTTTTTTTGTGCTGTTGTCCCCTGCTATTATGGTTGATTTTATGTGATGTATGCTTACTCCTTTGTATGTTCCTGTTCTCTGCAAAAAACAAAACAAACTTGTTTATATTACATTACATTTATATAGTACTAAAGCAGAATAAAACTTATGATTTATACGTTTATCAAATGCACACATTTTACCATAATATCTCTCTTTCAATATGTACTTTTTTTTTGATTATCATATATTTGGAACGGAAGTGTATTGCATTCACTTTAAGAAAAAAAATCTACTCTGTTTTTCTGAATTCTCAATATTAACGTGATCCTTTTTCATGGAAAAATGTTTTTGCTCTGTTTTTCTGAATTAACACGTTAATTATCTCAGAATTACAAGATGATTTTTCATGTAAAAAAAGTTTTTGCTCTGTTTTTCTGAATTAACAAGTCAATTATCTCAGAATTACGAAATAATTTTTCATGTAAGTTTTTGCTCTGTTTTTCTGAATTAACGAGTTATTTATCTCAGAATTATGCTATAATTTTTCATGGAAAAAAGTTTTTGCTCTGTTTTTCTGAATTAACGAGTTAATTATCTCAGAATTACGAGATAAAAAAAGTTTTTCTCTGTTTTTCTGAATTAACACGTTAATTATCTCAGAATTACAAGATGATTTTTCATGTAAAAAAAGTTTTTGCTCTGTTTTTCTGAATTAACAAGTCAATTATCTCAGAATTACGAAATAATTTTTCATGTAAGTTTTTGCTCTGTTTTTCTGAATTAACAAGTTAATTATCTCAGAATTATGAAATAATTTTTCATGTAAAAAAAGTTTTGCTCTGTTTTTCTGAATTAACGAGTTAATTATCTCAGAATTACGAGATAAAAAAAGTTTTTTCTCTGTTTTTCTGAATTAACACGTTAATTATCTCAGAATTACAAGATGATTTTTCATGTAAAAAAAGTTTTGCTCTGTTTTTCTGAATTAACAAGTTAATTATCTCAGAATTATGAAATAATTTTTCATGTAAAAAAAGTTTTTGCTCTGTTTTTCTGAATTAACGAGTTAATTATCTCAGAATTACGAGATAAAAAAAAGTTTTTGCTCTGTTTTTCTGAATTAACGAGTGAAGTATCTCAGAATTACGAGATAAAAAAGTTTTTGCTCTGTTTTTATGAATTAACAAGTTAATTATCTCACAATTACAAGATGATTTTTCATGTAAAAAAAGTTTTTGCTCTGTTTTTCTGAATTAACGAGTTAACTATCTCAGAATTACGAGATTTCTGAATTAATGACTTTATCTCAAAAACTCTTTTTTTCAAGAAAAATATCTCTGAGATAATCTGATCTGAATAATTTTGAGATAATTAATTCGTTAATTCAGAAAAACAGAGTAGATTTTGTTTCCTCAAGTGAATGCAATACACTTCCGTAATTTGAAATAATGAAAAAAAAAAAAAAAAAAAAAACTCCGTAAAGCATCTTTTTCTAGTTCCCTAAACGCAATGATCAAGGCTTGGCTAAACACAGATTGTCCTCCGTGCATCAAGTGCGTTTAGCTGTTTAGTCAAGGAAATAAAGTCAAAGGACAATATGAGGAAACCAGCTGGACATAGTGAGTCACTGTGCAGGTGTGCGTAGAGCTGCCCGGCATGGGAAAGAGTACAAGATGCAACAGTGATCAGATGTGTATTCATTTTACAAATCAAGCGTCACTGTGTTTTCACTGAAGTGCACTGCAGGCTTGAGATCAGGTCTCAGTGTCGCGGGGAAGGGCCCTCAATGTCAGTGTGGTGGAGGACAATCCATCAGCCGTGTTTATCTGAGCCGGCGGTGTACTTTACTGATAACACGCACGTCCCAACGTGGCTTTACTTTGTCCAAACGTTTCTTTGGGTGCTTTTGTGTTCCTTGGATGATGTCCATTTTTTCCGGTTTGTTGCGCGAAGGTCACATTAACGTGAAATCTTTTGCTTTCATCATTGCAGTAATCGCCTTTTATGTTTAGATTTTATGGTTTAACGATTGACCCAGAATCCATCATAAAAATGTTCTGCAACACTTTTGGAAACTGAATGCTGCAGCAGAAATCGAAACTCATCTCGCTCAGTTTGAACTTCAGCAGATCATGTCTACATGCCAATTCACACGACACCTGTTTCAACTAAAAACGTAAAAAAGTTATGCATTTTGGCCGTTCGTTTAAATGAAAACTTTTGAAAACGGGTTTCCGTGTAAACAACAAAAACGTGGATCTCTGAAGGCGGTGATGTCATGCACATATTGCGTGTTAAGTCTACAGTGTTTCATCGCCATCTACTGGCCTGGAGCAGAATACAGCGTTTTTAGTCGTTTTTGCATTTCGTGTAAACATGCCCTAAATGCATGGAGTTGCTGCAATATGATTGGCTGATTAGATATTTGGTTTATTGAGCAGCTGAACAGGTGTACCTATAAAGTGTCCCGTGAGTATGTGTGTATGTGTGTATATAAAGTAGGCATAAAGTTCTACCCCTAAAACTAACACATCAGTGTACATATTCATATGTACTTCGATTCAAATTCATATGTACTTCGCCCAAGGCGTAAAATAGTCACTTACACTTTCTTCTATTATACAGATGTTACATACAGACGTTGAGGTTGCCATCTCGTAAGAGAGAATCTGGAAGACTTTGGTCTGTGTTTCACAAAGGAAGAAGATAACACTTGGCATTTGCACTTATACAGCATGGATGCCTTCCTCTGGTCCTTCCTGAGCAGTCTCTGGCTGACGTAAGCACGCTCAAACTCACACATACACACAGACACACACAGATATTTCAGAAATATAGATGTCCTGCAGTCATAGTACGAAGCAACATTAAGCCTAAAAGCCTAATCTAAAGCAGTATTTGTCTATTTTTCCCAGACAATAAATTATGAATTGTTTTCCAGACAGTAATAATTAAAGGAGTAGTTCACTTTAAAAACAAAAACAAAAAAACAAAAAACGAACGTTTGCTGATAATTTGCTCACCCCCATGTCATCCAGGATGTCCATGTCATTCTTTCTTCAGTCGAAAAGAAATTAAGGTTTTTGATGAAAACATCAAATAGCGACACAATTGGTCATTTAAACAATCGGCGACCATTTGAGCTTATAAAACTTAAACTTTATTATTTTTTTATATATATATCCAATCGTTTCGCTAGATAAGACCCTTATTCATCGTCTGGAGTCGTTTAAAGCCCTTTGAACAGTTTGCACTGAAACTCTCATTTGGACCTTGAACCGTTTGGTTCCCATTGAAGCCCATTATATGGAGAAAAATCCTGGATGTTTTCATCAAAAACCTTAATTTCTTTTCGACTGAAGAAAGAAAGACATGGATATCTTGGATCACATGGGGGTGAGTAAATTAACAGCAAATGTTGAACTACTCCTTTAATTTCACATAAGTTTCACATGATAGATGTAAATTAGTAATGACTGACATGATTCATTGACATTAAACATCCAGGCTTGAAACTCAAGAGGGTTTCTCACACTTTATAGAGTGAAAACTGGGCCATTCTACATCCGGGTAAACAGAAACCTGGCTTCACGTTTCACACTGCACGTAACTGACCTGGGGTTAACATTGTACATTTCTAAAGCCTGTGTTAACGTCCTAATTTGCTGTGTCAGTGTCATTTACTCGATGAACGCCGCATGCGTTTCCCCACGAGCAAACGCAATGTCACGTTCCCTCATATTAGTTAACAGAAGTGCGTAACCAGAGACGATATGTTTACATAAATGCTTTGAATACTGATATTACATGTGACCGCCTATACTATCAAGTTTAACCTGGGGCTGGTTGCATTAATCACTAAGACTAGTCTTGCAAGACTGTTTTTTAAATACACAAAAACATAGATTGGCCTACTTTCATACAGAAAAGTCAGACTGACTGCCCCTGTTTTTGCAACCGGCACCAGAATGCTCTTTTCAGACTATAAAGGTGATGAAAATATCTATTCTTCACCCCAATTGTCATGCCTTTTGTCACCATTTGATATTATTTCCCCTCTCATGCTGACATTAAAGGAGTAGTTCACTTTTCAAAAAACTTTGCTGATAATTTACTCACCCCCATGTCATCAAAGATGTCCATGTCTTTCTTTCTTCAGTCGAAAAGAAATTAAGGTTTTTGATGAAAACATTCCAGGATTTTTCTCCATATAATGGACTTCAATGGGAACCAAACGGTTCAAGGTCCAAATGAGAGTTTCAGTGCAAACTGTTCAAAGGGCTTTAAACGATTCCAGACGATGAATAAGGGTCTTATCAAGCGAAACGATCGCTCATTTAAAAAATAAATAACAAAGTTTAAGTTTTATAAGCTCAAATGCTCGCCTTGCTCTGGTCTGAGATGCACGTTTGTGACTCTCCTGTTCGAACTCGTTCATCAAAATGAACAAATCTTTTTGTCATGACTCGAAGGGGCCTTGATAAGACCCTTATTCATCGTCTGGAATCGTTTAAAGCCCTTTGAACAGTTTGCACTGAAACTGTCTTTTGGACCTTGAACTGTTTGGTTCCCATTGAAGTCCATTATATGGAGAAAATCCTGGAATGTTTTCATCAAAAACTTCAATTTCTTTTCGACTGAAGACAGAAAGACATGGACATCTTGGATGACATGGGGGTGAGTAAATTATCAGCAAAAGCTTTTTTTAAAGGGAACTACTCCTTTAACACCAGAGGTGGAAAGAGTATTAAAATATTCTACTCAAGTAAAAATACTACTAATTTAAATTAAATTTGACTTAAATACAAGTAAAATTACTGGTCTAAAATGTAAAATTTAATCCGTGTAAAAATTACTGAGTTACTTTTTTAACAGCATATTATTATATAAATAAACGGTATTATTCAATATGGTTATTATTATTATTATTATCATCATCAGTTAAATTGGAAACAGATTAATGAAAACAGGTTTTTTTTTGCTATAACAAACTTGAAACCATTTGTTTGTTTTGTTTATTAAAATTTCAATAAATCATGTCTAATCAATTCAATTCGATAATTGATAATGAATTAGATTAACAACTTATTTTTAACATGAATAATTTATTAAAATGAATAATAAATAATATGAATAATATAGTCCTATAAAATGTATTTTATTCAGAAAATTAATGTTTCTTTTTATGATTTAAATATCCAAATATATGATCAAAAACGGTGTTATTTTAAACATGTGTCCTTTTATTTTGGGGGGGGAAGCGCTGCAAAAACAGATTTTCTGAATTAAACCTTGGACAAAAAATTATATTCCTTTAAATAATGTTTTAAAATGTTGTTATTATTATTATTTTGAGAAGTACGTTCTATTTTATGCCCAATATATTACTGAATTTCTCCTAAAACCAAACTTTTATTTTGACAGGTTGTAGTGAAGACCTGTTTCAAAAGTGTATTTGACATTTTTTTTTCCCCAAATAAAATTATGAAAATGAACATTTCCAGAGCTGCTCTGAGAGAACACTTAATGAGCATGTATTCATATCCTCAAATTGTTAGAGAGACGCTGAGAAGACCATGAACGTCACGCGTACTTGAGTATGTAGTAGACTTGTGCTTAAATACTCTCAGACCATGTCGTGATTGGATTTATTGCACAGTACTTTCCATGTATTCATCCATCCATTATTTTGCGTGTTTTACATGACATCTGCTTTTTTTCTTTTAAGTTTGTGTATTCATTCACAAATAATACCACTACCAGCAAATTCTAATACAGCGGGGGTACTGAATCAGAATTTGGTATAGTGAATGGGTCCCCCAAAGAAGCTAAAAAAAGCTTGTGGATTTTTAAAATTCTGCTTTCCCCTTGTTGTTGATTAATTTCATGAAAAGAGACACTAGTGATTTTGCCAAGAGATCTCTCGTATATATTTATAGAAGACATAGGAGGAAGAGACTACAGACAGAGGTCTTCATTCTGCATCGTTGTCATCTTTTCTTGCTTTTCGGACAAAAGGGTTCAGTCTTTATAAGAAAAAAAAACTATATCACCATAGTAACCCATACATTACCACAAAAACATGCGTTTCCCATTAACAATGAAATGTACTGTATATCCAATCCCAGTGGAAACTGTACACTGCATTTACTTTCAGTCTCTAACTCCCACATACATTCTCTCATGCAGTCTAACTTATCACAAAGTCTCCTAAAGTCTCTCTCTCTCTCTCTCTCACACACACACACACACACACGCATCTTCAAAACATTATAATTCACAAAATGCAATGATTACAAATGATTATGTATGTATACAAAAAGTAATAAAACAGATACATAATCTGATTATGAATATTAATAAAAATAATAATAACTAAGAACAACATTAAATTGAGAGATTTTCAATCTTCAAAGCTTCTAGATAGGGCCCATAATTTATGAAAAGGAATGGTACAGACATGGTACACAGTTACCACCTGCAACCAAACAACCAATGTAAGAACTGAAAAGCAGAACTGAAAGCATGCAAAGCACACAAGTACATACATAAAAATACATACACATACAATCATACACATACATCCCAGTAGTCCATTAAAAGACAGTTATATTATATTAAATATAGGTTGATAGATAATATATTTTTAGTTGTCTTTTAAAGGTGGAGATAAAGGGCAAAACCCTAAAGCCATCATCAATCCCGTTCCCAATCTACAGCCCCCGACAGACAATGCTCATACTGGCACGAACATGTCAGCGATATTTTCCAGATATGAGTGGTTTGGTTCTCGTTTGGTATATGTGCTGGGGGCTGGATTGATGTAGGTTTCAAAGGTTTCATTACCCTGGGTTAAAAGCGGTGCTAACTCTACCCTAGAGTAGGGTTTCATTACCCTGGGTTAAAAGTGGTGTTAACTCTGCTCTAGAGTAGGGTTTCATTAACCCTGGGTTAATAGCGATGCTAACTCTGCTCCACAGCAGGGTTTCATTACCCTGGGTTAAAAGCGGTGCCAACTCTCCTCTAGAGTAGGGTTTCATTAACCCTGGGTTAAAAGCGATGCTAACTATGCTCCAGAGCAGGGTTTCATTACCCTGGGTTAAAAGCGGTGCTAACTCTGCTCTAGAGTAGGGGTTCATTAACCCTGGGTTAAAAGCACTGCTAACTCTGCTCTAGAGTAGGGTTTCATTATCCTGGGTTAAAAGTGGTGCTAACTCTGCTCCAGAGTAGGGTTTCATTGCCTCGGGTTAAAAGCAATTTTAAATCTGCTCCAGAGTAGGGTTTCATTAACCCTGGGTTAAAAGCGGTGCTAACTCTGCTCCAGAGTAGGGTTTCATTAACCCTGGGTTAAAAGTGGTGTTAACTCTGCTCCAGAGTAGGGTTTCATTAACCCTGGGTTAAAAGTGGTGTTAACTCTGCTCCAGAGTAGGGTTTCATTAACCCTGGGTTAAAAGTGGTGTTAACTCTGCTCCAGAGTAGGGTTTCATTAACCCTGGGTTAAAAAGTGGTGTTAACTCTGCTCCAGAGTAGGGTTTCATTAACCCTGGGTTAAAAGTGGTGTTAACTCTGCTCCAGAGTAGGGTTTCATTAACCCTGGGTTAAAAGTGGTGTTAACTCTGCTCTAGAGTAGGGTTTCATTATCCTGGGTTAAAAGCACTGCTAACTCTGCTCCAGAGTAGGGTTTCATTGCCTCGGGTTAAAAGCAATTTTAAATCTGCTCCAGAGTAGGGTTTCATTAACCCTGGGTTAAAAGCGGTGTTAACTCTGCTCCAGAGTAGGGTTTCATTAACCCTGGGTTAAAAGTGGTGTTAACTCTGCTCCAGAGTAGGGTTTCAATACCCTGGCATAAAAACAATTTTATATCTGCTCCAAAACAGGATTTCATTACCCAGGGGTTAAAAAGCAATAATAACTCTGCTCCAGAGCAGGGTTTCATTAGCCTGACATCGTCATACTCAGATCGTCATAGTCAGAATGTGAGTCTAATACTGCTCCATTGGGCTGTGATTATGGGGCGTGTTTAACCGAACCAGGAAAGAAAATACCTCTGCACTCAATTGGATCGACAAATGCCTTGATTGCAGTTCTCTGTTCCTCTTTTAAAATGAATTCGCTTTCTACATCTTCTATAACAAACACGATGGCTGAATCTACACATCTAAATTCTCCAGCGGTAGCCATTCTTTGTTGTAAATGAATTCAACCCAAGCGCTCTTTGGTGACTTGGATGATTACGTTACGGTTCATCATCTGTCCATCATCGTTTAAATCCCGGCCTGACAATTTGATTGGTCTGAACAGCTCTTTGGTTCAGGCATATTTGCCTCACAACGGACCAAGTCCAGACCGGACTTCCCCTCCTCAAATGGTGTGGGCGTGGCTAAGTTCGGCTGGCATCCAGGGGTGAGTTTTCCGAAAGCATCGTTAGCCAACTACGTTAGTCACAAGTTCCGTCGTTATCAGCATAGTTCAACGAGTCGGTGTTTCCCGAAACCAACGTTCCAACGAACATTCGCAAACAGCATCGCAAAGTTGGGTGATTTGAACGACAGCTCTCGACCTGTGGTTAGAGGCATCATTTCCATATTGCGTGACATTTGGAGGTAATAAATCCTTATCTTGAGCAAAACAAGCAAGCTGACATTCAGTGCAACCGGTGCCTTTTATCAAGAATACATACAAATGTATTTTACGTCTTTTAGTTTGTCAAACGATTTAAAGTACCGTGTTTGAAGAATGCGCATCTGCGAACGTGCTCTACTATGTAAGAACGAGCCAAATATTGAGTCTGGTAATAAAGCAAAATAACTGAGAACAATTAGAAAAACTCCTCAGATGACATGACTGTAATTTATATGAAAAAATCTACCGTTAAATGAATCTCAAACAGTTTCATGAAAAATAGTTATTACTCCACAACGTGCGAAACCAACGTGGTTGAACGATACTTTGCGACAATGGGTTGACGAGCTAGTTGATTTTTCCAACGATGCATCGCACTATGGTAGTGAAGCAGCGAACTACGTCATTGTATATACGGGAAACACATTCCAGGCTAGGGTTTCATTACCCTGGGTAAAAAGCGGTGCCAACTCTGCTCCAGAGCAGGGTTTTTTTCATTACTGTGGGTGAAAATCCCTAATTTCTGATTCCATTCTTAGTACAACACTTTTTTGGAAGATAAAAAACTGCATTGATAATTAAACAAAAGTTTAACATAAATGATCAGAATTACAGGTTGATCAGCTGCTTAATTTTTTTTCGAGCTTTTGTCTGTAGAGTTGTCACAATGCCAAGGCCTGCAGGAAATCTGCAAATGCAAGGTACAACACAGCTGAGGACTCAGATGTTTGGTACTCCATCATGCCGAGCTCAGCTTGAGCTCATAAAAACATGTCCAGAGGGCTTGTCTCCTGTGGACAAGTGCAACCTTACCAGGAATTCTGTTCCAAAGAGCATAGCGCTCCGTAAGCAGGACAGTTTCCGCTAAAAGGACACTGCCATTCTTACCCTAACTTGTCATCTCCTGATCTAGTAACTCGGCAACCTTGCTTTGGGATCTGCTAAGACAAGCCCAGTTTGTCCATCATTAACAAATAACTTTCATTTGGATTTCCTCATTCCCAAGAGGCCGCAGGTCAGATTGGACAATATAATCTGTAGGGCACACTTGTCTGCCAAAAACTGGTGGCAAAGGATTTGTTGTTTTAGGAGACAGAAACAGAGGGACCTAAATGGTCCATTTTCAGGTCAAAGGTTGGGGATGGGGGGATACAGGAAAAATCCCCCTGAAGCACAGGATGCACATGGACGGACCATGACAGGCAGAATCCAGCAGGAAATGGAGAGAGAACGAAAGGAAGAGAGGATTGTGGGACACAGCTGAAGTTAGATTAAATAATTCCTGTTTTTCAGTGCCCAGTTTGTGTAGCGCACTATGCAGGAAGCTGGAGACACAGTGCTGTCGTCACAACTGTTGGGTTTACACTTGTTGACGGTTAGATAGCAAAGCACTGCCAAATAAAACACATTAGTCACTTTACTTAAACTGCATTTACTGAAGAAAATGTGAGTGGTGTATGCTTTGAAACTCACTGCCACTCTCAACTACAGTTGGTGTTTGCCAAGTGCGTTGCATTGAGTTTGCTCGGGTGTCCTGGGTGATTGCTATAAACAACGCATCGGTCTGTTACCTCTGGGTGGATTTTAACATCACTCCAGTGTTCTGAATGGTTGCCGGCCCGTGTTAAAATTATTGGCCCATGTCAAAAGAGCCCACAGTGAAGTCTCTAGGTATGGTTCAGATCCCTCCTTGACTATGTCGAAAGAACTTTTGGCATGTTTTCTATGTACTCACATTGACTTCAGGAAATGACAGTGTCATTGTGGACCTTTGATGTTATATTCAAACAAGTCAGTTATTTATAGTGCCATCCTCTCTTCTAGAGAAGGCTGCTTAACATTTACTTACCATTTATTCAAATCAGGTTCTTTTATTACTCACACTTCAATTCATTTCTATTCAAAATTATTTGTGTAGCGCTTTTCACATTACATATTGTTTCAAAGCAGCTTTACAGAAAGTGACAGAAATAATACAGTTAATCATGTATTAATTTAGGGCAAAACATATCGCCGGCGTTTAGTCATCTCATCGCACGTGTTGGGGCATCTGAAGTCTCCGTGAGAGGCTGGATACAAAACTGGAGCTGACGAACGCTATTTACCTCGGGACTAGCGTCCCAAGATAACAGCAGAAAAGCAGATAGGAAATAATTAGCATAGCTGCTGTTCATAATATTAAATGTATTCGATCTGATTCAACAGAGGAACAAAAGGTATAGCATTGTGTGAATGCTTGGCTAAAGAGATGCGTCTTTAATCTAGTTTTAGACTGGGACAGCGAGTTTGAGCCTCGAACAATATCGGGAAGGCTATTCCAGAGTTTAGGAGCTAAATGCGAGAACGCCCTCCCTCCTTTAGTGGACCTAGATATCCTAGGAATGACCAGGAGCCTTGAATTTAGTGATCTTAAAGATTGTAGGGTGATAGAAGGTCCATTAAATACACAGGGCTTTATATGTCAGTTACTTTGTAATTTACACTGAACTTTAAAAGGTAACCGGTGATAAAATTGGTGTTATATGATCACATAAGAATTTTGTAGTACTGTAGCTATTAAAACTGCAGCTTGTTTATTGAGGATGAAGGACAACCAGCTAATAAAGCATTACAGTAATCTAGTCTCAAGGTTACTTCATAAACAAGATATTTTATGGGCAAATGGGTAACTCAATATGTGGAATAAGAGAAGAAAAGACAGAAAGTGGATTAATGAATCCAAAATAGAAGCATTTCAGACATGTGTTGGTGTTCGCTTGAGGTTTCAACACTGTTATGATTTGCGCAGATGTTCAGACCAACTGGGGAAAGACGTGACACACAGTAGGACTTCTCATCTGCTGTCAGTTGAGATCAAAATATTATGGGGAAAAAAAACTGTCTGGTAGGAGCGTTTTACACAACATAACCAATGTAACAATTTTGACATCTCAATAAGCCTTTTGCCTTTAATATCTTTAAACGATATTCGCTGCTCATCCATGATGGGAATCTCCCATTCCATCACATCCTAAAGCTGCTACTGGGTTGAGACTTGAGACAGATTGGTGACGTTTAGTAAACTGTGTATATTTTCAATATATTTTGTAATTATTTTCTTGTGGTTGTAAGGAGGCCCAACAAATGTATCAATCTGAAATGTTTTTTTCTGGTCCCTACATCTCAGGTCAATAATATCATTGTCATTGAATCTATGTGAATTTGATGTCAGGAAATACGATATAAAATTGATGTGAAATTTATGTCAAAACAATGTCTTAAATGTCTGGATTTTTTTTTTAAATTTTATTTATTACCCGGTGTAAATTAATGAGATGCATTTTCAACAGCTAAAAGACTTTGACTTTTAGATGACAATTTCTTGAAAAAATTAGGCATAGGTCTATGTATTTTGCTAAGGAGAACTCCGGCAAACAATGAACCTTTGGTCTAATAAAACATCTGTACCTATAGTCAATCGTTCTGAGATTTGTTTCTACCCATTTTATTTGTACCCACACTAACGCAGTAACATAATGAGGCTCCATACATGCAAAACGAAGCATTGAGAACTTTGTAAGTGTACAGACCGTTCGTGTACAGACAGAAGCCATCTTAGAAAATAGTCTCGATAAGTCAAACCATGAACGTCGTGCTGAGTGATCTGAACTGTATGAAGTTCAGCGAACTTCTGAACTGTATGGCGCTCAGGGATCGACTTATCGAGACTATTTTCTAAGATGGCTCCTGTCTGTATACGCGAAGTGAACTGTCTTCATAAAGTATCTTCTTTTTAAACGGTCTGTACACTTACAAAGTTCTCAATGCTTCGTTTTGCATGTATGGAGCCTCATTATGTTACTGCGTTAGTGTGGGGCTATTTTGAGCCTTGTTAGTGGTATAAACTAGCGATTTCTTTTTACTTAGTCAATGCCCCCATTACTAGCGTTATACGCTAAACAGTTTTTAGAGATAAAACTCTTTACATTCGATTATCATGAAAACAAATCTCAGAGAACGGTTGACTAGGTACCGATGTTTTATTAGAACAAAGGTTCATTGATCGCCGGAGTTCTCCTTCAAAGTTTGATGTGTTGAGCATTCAGAGATGCTCTTCTGCTTAAAGGGGTCATATAATGCCATTTTTGTACAAGCTAATATGAATGTTTAGAGTCTAAATGAAAACTTTGAAATATACTTTTATTAAAAATTCTCATTAGTATTTTAAGAAAACACCATTTTATCTGGTGAAAATCAGCTTTGTTTTCAGCACTCCGTTTCAGTGCATATGCCTTTAAATAATAAACCCCGCCCCTCTGTTCTGCAGGCGTGAACGCGTGGAGTGTTGTCTTGACAACAGTTGAAGGTTTTGGAGAGAGAATGGCAGCGGGAGGACTCATCTGTGGAACCGTATCAGTTTGAACCGGTGTCGCACCAGAACAAGATGGCGGCCGCAAAGAAGTTCGACAATTAAGGTTTGAGGACGTTTCTGAATAGTTGGTTTACGAACGCTGTGTTTACTGATGTAATGTTACGTAAGTTCATTGACAGATTGACGTGGTCATTAAAAACTTTTTCCCGCGATTTGTAAAGATTAATATAAAGATTGATAAAACTTTAGTTGCAGAGGGAACGTAAATAGTTGGTACCGATTAGTTTTTTCAGGAGCAGCTTCTTAGCAAAACCAGCTTTATACTGATCTTCCTCGTTTATAAAGCAGTCTGGTGAGAAATGATTTGCGCAAACAATAAAGTATTGATCGTTGACCGTGGGGAATAATCCCTTCGTAAACAAAACTCAGCCACTGCGTCTTCAGCGGTTCAAATTTAGGAACATCAGAATGATTTCTATGTTTGTTATTGCACTGAAGAACAGAACAACACAATCGCTTAGACGCAATTCTGCTCCAGTGTATCAACAATGACGGACTATACTCTATGATGACAGCTCGCTCAGGGCGGGTCTGTGTTGAAACACTGCTGTCAATCAACAACCGCGGGAGGGGCGTGCGGCCGTGTGACGTCACACGGTCGAACGGCTCGATTCGAGGCAGGGGAAAACATATAAGGAGATTAAAACAAAACCACTGGATGGATTTTTATCATTAAATGATGGTTGTGTACAGGCACCGACAACACACATTGCAGTACAATCAACTTGTAAAAGTGCATGTACCATTATATGACCCCTTTAACGTTTGGTGTGTTGAGTGTTCAGAGATGCTCTTCTTCTTCAAGGTTTGGTTTGTTGCGTGTTCAGAGATGCTCTTCTGCTTCAAGGTTTGATGTTTTGAGTGTTCAGAGATGCTCTTCTGCTTCAAGGTTTGGTGTGTTGAGTGTTCAGAGATGCTCTTCTGCTTCAAGGTTTGATGTGTTGAGTGTTCAGAGATGCTCTTCTGCTTAAGGTTGGATGTGTTGAGTGTTCAGAGATGCTCTTCTGCTTCAAGGTTTGATGTGTTGAGTGTTCAGAGATGCTCTTCTGCTTCAAGGTTTGGTGTGTTGAGTGTTCAGAGATGCTCTTCTGCTTCAAGGTTTGATGTGTTGAGTGTTCAGAGATGCTCTTCTGCTTCAAGGTTTGGTGTGTTGAATGTTCAGAGATGCTCTTCTGCTTCAAGGTTTGATGTGTTGAGTGTTCAGAGATGCTCTTCTGCTTCAAGGTTTGGTGTGTTGAGTGTTCAGAGATGCTCTTCTGCTTCAAGGTTTGATGTGTTGAGTGTTCAGAGATGCTCTTCTGCTTCAAGGTTTGATGTGTTGAGTGTTCAGAGATGCTCTTCTGCTTCAAGGTTTGGTGTGTTGAATGTTCAGAGATGCTCTTCTGCTTCAAGGTTTGATGTGTTGAGTGTTCAGAGATGCTCTTCTGCTTCAAGGTTTGATGTGTTGAGTGTTCAGAGATGCTCTTCTGCTTCAAGGTTTGGTGTGTTGAGTGTTCAGAGATGCTCTTCTGCTTAAGGTTTGGTGAGAGATGGTTGTGCGTGAAAATCCCAGTAGAGCATCAGTTTCTGAAGTACTTAATACAACAATCATGCCACGTTCAAAGTCAGTTAAATCACTTTTATTCTCTACTCTTATGCTCTGTTTGAACTTCAGCAGATATTAGTGATAATGTCTACGTCTAAATCCATTGAGTTGCTGGCATGTGATTAACTGATTAAATATTTGCGTAAACAAGAAGGTGAACAGGTGTACCTAATAAAATATCCAGTGTGTGTGTGTGTGTTACATTGCTGGTTATATTATGACATAATATGACACAAAAGGACCTTTCTTTTATATAAAATTTATTATATTTAATGTAAAAAAATATTCACAATCTATGACTTCAAAACACTTTAAAGCACAAAGCATAATTTTAAATGGCAAAATACATATCCAAACATCAACCTGGTAGTTCAAAGTTACCTGTGTTAGTTTCCTCCATCAGGTTTATTTTACACAGCACAATCATGCAAAACAAACTACAAGTGAATTCAAAGTTTTACGACTCTGCAAGCTAGCTGAAACAAGGTTACATAAGCTGCGATACAAAACGACTGGGATACAGAAAACACAAATCAACATTGACTGAAAACATCTTCATTCTTCTATGTTTTTAAATACATCTGCTTCCTCTGAGAGAGGGTGGTCGAGGTTCACGAGTAACAAAGCCGGCGTGGAGCACCAGGCGTTTGCAAGGTTGTGGGATAAAGAAAGTACTTGTTGTGATGATTGCTGAAGTGTGTTGTGTTACACAAGCGCTCTGTGGCAGGGGCTGAAAGGTCCTTAGGAGCCACAATCCTCAGCTTTGTTCCACAGGCCCACGGCCTGATAAGCAATTTGGATGCTGTTACAGGATGCTCCTCTGCCGATAGGCTTCTGCTGAAAGCTTCCCTTTTTCACTTTCTGTTCGACTGGCTGCCTGGAAGGTGAAAAGGAGATGTGGAGTAGAATAAACATGTGTGTCATGTTTATAACTAATCACTTGAAATAGACGTTAATGCATTCTTTGGCAAAGTTGTAATCTCTTTAAATCTAATATTTCAGGTGAAAAGAATAAGAACAGTATTAAATGTAAAAGACGATTGGATTTCTGGGTAAACCCGCGGGCTGTGAAGAAATAAATCATCATCATATTTCAGACAGTTATTTAAATACCAAATACAGAGTCTTTCATACTATGGCAAATGCAAAACAGCATGGAATCGGGATCATACAGTGAAATACAACATGCAGAAGAAATATCCTAAATAAAAATAAATTGATATATATATATATATATATATATATATATATATATATACTGTATATTTATTTGAATTTTTATTATTTAAAAAAATGTATCACTGTTTTAATGTTATTGAGAATTGAAATGTTGGCTTGGCAATAAACTGAAATAAGCATAAGTTGAAGCACAAAAATTATTAATTGGAAATAAATAAAAACTAAAACTGAAATACAAATAAAATTTTACCCAAATAGATATATATATATATATATATATATATATATATATAACCCTAATAAAATGACAAAAGCATGTTACGTGGAGACGGAAATGATAAAAATAACAATACATTAATTGGTGCAATACAAATGAATACAAATATAATGCTTTTTGACCTGTACATAAGAAAAGGTAATTTTTTTTTTCTACAATCAGAACAATGACAGAACGGACCACAACGGGCCTGCAGATTTTTTTCATCTGCTACAATCATGCAATGTCTTTGAATCGTTTTTATCTGAGGGCTTTTCTTAATAAAAATGCATGTGTATATTTTGTGACTTGAATTGGCATTTTATGTAATTATGATAAAAATAAAAAAAGCCATAATTTTGAGACAACATATGACCCATAAATGTTCTTGACAGGTTTTGTAAGCTTCAGCCTTCTAGCAGTGATCTTATCTTGTACTGTTGTATTCTTAGTTCAATAGCCATATTTCCTGATGTCTTAACTGATCAGATTGTGGTCGGAACAGACACACTGAGTGCCCTTTTCCAATTTGTAATACTAAGATCGGTGAAATGAAAAGATCTTAAAGCCCTTAACAGGAACTAAATATAATGTGGAGCTTTGACCATGTGTGCATTATGGAGGATAATTGATTTTCCAGTAATGCATCAGGCAGGAAGGAGTCACCATCAAATACACTCAGACCTCATAGTGGAATGGATATAAAATGTTTGATATGGCCTTATATATATATATAAATACAACCAGATTTCTCTAAAAACGCATACCAACAACCCAAACACCTAGCAGCCATCCAAAACACTCTACAAATCAACCAGATTTCTGTAGAAACCACCTACCAACAACCCAAACATTTAGCAACCACCCAAAAACACTGTATCAATCACCCAGAATGCCCTAGAAATCACCTACCAACAACCAAAACACAGCAACCACCCATGGCACTCTATAAATCAACCAGATTTCTCTAGAAACCACCTACCAACAACCAAAACACCTAGCAACCACCCAGAACACTCTATAAATCAACCAGATTTCTCTAGAAACCACCTACCAAACAACCAAAACACCTAGCAACCACCCAGAACACTCTATAAATCAAGCAGATTTCTCTAGAAACCACCTACCAACAACCCAAACTCCTAGCAACCACCCAGAACGCTGTATCAATCCCCCAGAATGCCCTAGAAACCACCTAGCAACAACGCAAACACCTAGCAACCACATACCAACAACCCAAACACATAGCAACCACCCAGAACACTCTATAAATCAACCAGAATTCTATAGAAACCACCTACCAACAACCCAAACACTTAGCAACCACATACCAACAACCTAAACACATAGCAACCACCCAGAACACTCTATAAATCAACCAGATTTCTCTAGAATCCACCTGACAACCCAAACTCCTAGCAACCACATATAGGGCTGTCACGGTTATGGAATTTCCCTTGCGGAAATGTTAAGTGGCTCAATAGCGCGATATGCGGTATTACCGCCATTTATTTATTTCTTTATTTAATTTATATGTATTTGTTGCTATATAAATAAAGTTTACGATGTGGACAAAAACGAGGACATTTTCAGTAACCAATGTAACCGAAACTAAACAGCATCTACAGTATATATGCGCATTGAAAGACTTTCACTCAGCGCGCATATTGTTATAACAGACTTTGAGCGAGTCATTGAACCGTTCATTAAACGAAGACGTTTAAAAAAGCTGATTCATTAAAAGAGATCTAAAGAAACAAGATGTTAATTATTTTTAACTTTGAGGTTCAACTTTTCAAGGCTCAGCTGAGCAGCAATGCGTCGTATGGGCAACGCTGAAGCTGATGCTTCACTTATTAGACACCCATATAGCATTGATTTAATGCGTGACTCACTGATTTTATTTCCCCGCGGCTTCCTTGTGCTGTTGAATGCTGACCAGCGCTGCTGCTGACGCGCATTTATGGGAAAATACCCGTGAAGCAAACATTAAAATGATGATGCGACAAATATTTCGC